TAAAATCTATTAAGATTTCAAGGATAGTTTAAAGTACACATGCCCGTGGTTAATTATAGAGCTATAAAATTCGTCTCAAAAGATTTACATGTGCAAAATGATTCATGCTAAACAATACACTGAATATGGCCGTTCTAAATACACAAAAATAAAGTATTTCGCAAATACATCCAAAATTAAAAAAGAAAACAATATTTCACAACTTCCACAAAAAGTTGTTAATTACACTTGACAACTATATGACCTTATTGAAATGTCCACACAATAAATTGATTCTAACCATAAAGAGGATTTAGAACATAATCGCTATTTAGGAAATATTGTTCAACCTAACACAGACGAAGTTAATTCTTTTATATGTATGGAAGTGGATGGACAGGGTGTGAGTAATACAACCGCAAAAGGCACACATTACTATATTGGTTCTATGAAATGATAAGATTATTGCAATTCAAACGATTAAGTCATATCATCGAGGGGTTACACCAGTTCTGCTATTCCTTAGCCAAACATGTTAGGATCTCTTTGTCATGGATAAGAAACATGTTTCAAATTTAAACACAACAAAATGAAGGAACCTACTAGAATATAATTCAAACATGATATAGTTAGCGATTAGTGAAATAGTAAATATGTACAGAATTCAATATTATTCGAGTGTCACGTCCACCAAACTCTGTGATATTTGTTTGATAACCCTAATGATTCAAGTCGTTAAGCTCACTGATAAGGCAGTTGTTATCAGCTATCTACAAGTTGCCGACCCTATGATAAAGGTTCATACTATTATACAATTCACACTGGATTAAATTAACTTTTTGTTCTATCCAATAATTTGTCACAAGGTTGGTTTTAAATAAATAAATATACCTACCCCTTGAATTGTCTGCAGAAGGTTTAATGCGTCAGCGTTATTAAAGCCACAAAGAGCATTGACGTGTTTGGTTTCAAGACCATTGAGATAATAATAATTTTATTGCAAATTAATTACTGTTTGTTGCCTATATTGTGCGATTTCTATAACTGTAGAAACGTCTCCTTCAAAGACTGTTATGATATCTTGAGCCTTATCATCTATTGTGTTGACATCTTCAACAGAATTCTTAACATTTGTATGAAAATAAGGTTTAGTTTAAGAAATTAATCCACGTGATATTTCTATAGCAAAACACGTTTCTAACGAATTAACCTATAAATGTCAACAGCATAATATTATCCTGCCACCTCCATTCAAAGTGTGTAATGATTTATATTTATTTACTAGTTTATGATCCAAATCATATACCGGTCAGCAGAACTAGTTTTTAAATGATTTCGTCGAAGGAGACTAATATGGCTAGTATGGTAATGATTCAAGTAAACGAGTTTGCAGTAATCCGTCTGCAGTTAGGGGCATTAACAGTCGTGAAACATTTACTGAACCAATAAACCATGAAAGAGACGGATTGTAAATAAGAAACACAGATATATTTGAACACATGGACGTGGCTAGAACACACTATAAAATTGGCGCCTGTTTACCAAGAATCGTGTACAGTGTACAAATTAATCGCAACATCATTGAGATCGGTACCTCCCCGCCGGTATGTCCCCTGTACCAGTCACAGATGTGAAACAAAAATAATTCACATCTCCTTCATTGTATGTGCACGCATATATTTGCATTTTAAACGCACCAGTTGTGACACGAAGGCAAATTCTGCCAAGGCTGGCTCGTCACTGCACCGGTATTAAATGATATAAACCCAGCAAGGGTGACGTAAGCGCGAACTTTCTATCTTCAGTGAAACTTTAATGTAATTGTAGACAAAATAAAGTTGTGTTTGCAGTAACAAGATCATCTCATACTTTTTGAATTTCTACATCTCCTTAAACCATCCTTTATGATATTTTAATACGTTTTAAATAACTTGGAACGATGACCTGGTGATGAGGATGATACACCATGTTGTATATATAGGTACTTATAAACGTAAACTGTAACTACAATACACACCAAAAAGGTATGATGGTGCAAGTTAATGTGCAGGGTCGTCCGAAGTATCATTTAATATTGTTTCACTATACTTCGACACTCTTCACCAACCACAACGGTGAAAAAGTAATTATGTTTCAAGTAAAAAATAAATTCAAAGTATTGGCAAAGTTTAAAACTCTAAACAGGGTGGTGATTTGCACGGAATGCGACAACTGACATGTATTTTGCGTCATTAGGTCCAATATAATGGAGAGAATGATTAAATTACTTAACCCTCATCGTATCATAAGTTGTAGGTAATTACATTAATGTCGAATGTAAAACAAATGAATATCGTACAACTAAATAAGAGGAATGTTCTGCATACATTACATTGGTACGAACGTGTAATGTACGGACCCCTGATTTGCATACACAGCAACAAAGGACGAGCACCATCAGATAAGTTTTGGTAAAAAATAAAAAAAAAACCAAAGGAGGTCTCCGAAACTTGTTTACGAAAGTCAGAGTCACGTTTTGCAAGTTTACTCGTACGCGGGGGATCTCTCAGAGAGGAGGGTACGAACAGGTTAGTGTTTATACGTAGATAAGTAAGATATATTTATGTATGTATGTTGTGATGCGTCATTCAAGTCCACACCACTCTTAAATTGACCAAATTTCGGGTACCAGTTTTACAATAACATCAATTCTCCGAAACAATTTTGTTGCGGCCGATTCTTCAAAATGCATTATGGACAATAACATACAGGGTTAATTTGCTTCGATTAAATAAAAAGAATGTGTAATTCAATCGCGTATAAGATTACTACTTATATATACTGCGCTTGGATATGTTCATCGAATCATCATTGCAATGATCCTCGTTTTCACCGTACATTTGGTATCCATGCGTGTCACGTAGGGTCACACTCGATCCTTGGCCCAACTGATGCAGCGATACAACACAAGGCCGCCAGCCGGCCTCGTTCGTACGCAACGAGCATCCAAATTCGTATGAATCACATTTTTTATAGTTCATACCACGCTTTTACAAGGTTAATGATATTATACCCCCGCAGGATTTTTCAAAATCACATCCTATTGTTGATTGTTAAAAAAGAAAATGGCCTACAATGGCTTAGGAGTACAAAGTCTTTTTACTTTGTACAGCAAATGAGTCCTCGTCCTTGCTAATGATGATAATACATTGCAAGTAGCAACAGCTTCTAAAACATAATGATTGTTATTCAACTCGGCAACACGTTAGACAAATTGATACGATTAAGTGTTCATAATAATTATGCACCTACACTTCCTGTTGCATGTAGGAGGTAACTAGACGTGATAAGGACTGAAACAACGAAATATTCAATGCTATGGGAAAACACGAATCTTATAGTACAGAGTAGATTGCGTTTTGTTCAATAGTAAGTTACGATTAGATTATAAAAACCAGAAAGTAAATTAGCAATAAACTTCAAACAACGATGTCGGAAGCGTAGCAAATGATCGGTTATTATCAGCTAAGGTTCGGTGTGGCAATCGATCAGGATGTGGCATTGTGACCCAATGACAGTCCGCCGTTGATGAGAAAAAACGCAATTATAACAGATGAGTCGAAGAAAAAAACGGCTTCGGACACGCTACGCCAATGCCACGGCTCTAGTCTCACAGTTTTATGAACAACTGTAGAATAGAATGCTAACACGTAATTCCCTTTGCGATATCGAATCGTTCAGTCATTTGCATTCGACCTAGACTCTCAATGTTAAACGTTGTTAAATACAAAGGGAAAGTTATAAATAGGAACTTGCTGATTAAATATATCCATTGATAGGAGTCGATGAACCAGTTGTACTACCAGTATAAGATACAAGATTATAACATCGGATCAAATGATATTTAGATAATGAATAAGAACTCACAAGTATTGATATTTGATTACCGGTAGGTTGTAACACAAAGTTATAAAGGTTATATTTTATGAAGTAGGATCAAGTGTTAATGTGGTTACAGCAAGAGCAAATGATGAAAGCCATTACAGTAAACGGGAGGGCATATTAAGCAGTTAATCATAGGTCACAATGTATTTGTTCGGCGTTGAAACTACAGCACTAGGATCAGTGCGGGACTGTACATGTGTATTTATATATGATCTCACATCGGCTCGCGTCTGCATTGTCCGTCCGCTGGTCTCCTCGTCACGTTTGCTAACTGTGCCGATAATGACTGCAACAAGATATCCTTGACTCTGCACACAATTATCTGGACACTTTGCATCAGAACTTGACACGGTTGCTTATATGCATAGTCTTGTGCTACAACAACTATACTAGTCTAACCAATAAAGGCTGAGAATCCATTTAATGAGCATTAAATTATATGACGAGATGTGTTATTATCGTTTCCAGTTGAACTTGACTTGATTATAATTGTTTATTCATCGATGTTATATAAGTACTTACAAGAATGAATAAAAATAATACAATTTAAGCAAAAAATGTGACTGATGTATTGCATTGATGTTGAGTATGCATTTTGGACCTTGATGCTAAAAGTCTAAGGTGTATACTAATTTAGTCAGTTGAATGGGGCTCACGTAATGACAAAGGTTGCTCGTCTCCATAGACTTACTTCCGAGGACTGTGATGTGCAGACGGAACAAAGAGGGTGTCGTGCATTGGCTTACAAATACTAATGTCCCTTTTCAAGTTGAGCAGTGAATCACAGTAGCCGACACTGAATATGATATTATGTTTAATAATTGCATTTCCAAGGAATTGCTTGCCACATCACACGACGAAGCGACCTTATAGATGAAATGAAGCACCATAAATGCACAATAAACCTTCAAAACTAGATTTAGAACATAAAAGTGTCTGTACTCTATCGTTTTACGGTCGGTTATACGTTTGCAAACACATAGATCTCACACAATAACACGGAGCACGTGTCTAGGGACGACGTTGTAAATGCATAATTCACAGCGCATTTTGTTAACATAAATAAGATTAGACTAACAAAGCGTTTTACATTACAGGTTCGTGAAGCCAGACGAGGTGGCGAAGCTGTGGGGCCACATGAAGCAGAACGAGAACATGACGTTCGAGAAGTTCAGCAGGGCCATGAGGTACCACTACCGGCAGATGGTGCTGGTGTCGGTGCCCACGGCACGCCTCGTCTACCAGTTCGGCCACAAGGGACCCGACTTCAAGACCGACAACCCCAACTTTGTCAAAGTGAAATCAGAAAATGTTACCGACATGTCGTATTCTTAGTTTAAATTAAGAAAGTATTAGGCTAAAATTTGTTGAAAGTCGATGCTCAGAGTAAGATAAACAGTGATATGATGATGGTTACGTATAGTATCTAGAATCTTGTCCTTGGAGGTTTAGGAGGAATACGACATACAGTAATTAGGTAAGTTTGAGCAGACAAGTCAAGACGATATCTGATCACAAATTGGTGACAGTAGCAGCGGAGAAAATGTGTGTCTATTCATCAATAATAATGTCAATTGATTTTTCCAAAAAATCATCGTTCCACCCAAGGGCATTATTGAAAAGAATAGTTATAATCAGGTTATTTGGATGAAGTGAGATCACCTCCAAGCTATGATGGTCCTTAGATTGTCTCGGTACACTCTAACGACTATTATTTAGGTTCAACTTTACTTCAAGTTGACCATATTTTTGACGTACGAAGCCACGGCCGCGTACTGTTGTTGTTGAGATCAAGGGCTGAAATTTTTGAATTAAATTTTAGTCATGATCGTGTTCTTTATACGTAATTTTTCTTATGATGTCTTTGTATTAATAAATACTTAGTGTTTAACAAATGTTTTAATGTTATAGTCTAAATATTTCTAGCAAAATTCGACCACGGTTTGCAACTTGGAGGTGGTCTCAAAGTTAAGTGTTTTGGAAGTTATATGAATGTACTTTAGGTAAGATAGGCTCAATGTTTGAATCGAAATAGTTTCAATGGTTGTACTCGTGGATGTTGGATCAATTACTTGTTGGGTATACTGTGTATTGGTTGGATACCGATCGGTTGGATTGTGCCGTCAATTAACTCGTACCGACGCGATGTGTCGGTATGTCCATATTATTTTTTTAAGTAATATTATTAGTATTTTATCCTCGATGTACGTTTGTACTGTCGAACAAAAATTTTGATGGTTGTTTATGTAGGAACATTACGAATTTTTGATAAAGTATTTTTAATTGTTGTTACCGTATGATACGAGTGTGTAATACGTAGTGTGTTATGATATTGCGAACATTCCAATTAATTTATAAATAGTTCTAAGTTGTTTAGTGTCCACTTACTTCAAAGTAAACTTAAGCATATTTCAAGTTGCCATAATTATGTATTTGTATACGTAAAACGATAATGTACTTAATTTCATAGTTTCTTTCATTTCATGTCATTTCTCAGCCTCTAATATTTCATTATAAGATTCATCTCTATTGTAATTTAAATAAATTTTATACTGTTATTTAAAATTCCTGTCTCAGTGTTAGTTTAAAATTAAAAATCTTAAGGTTAAAAGAGCGCGTTCGTGCAAATATAAATAAAATGACAAAAAAAGATCTGCAGGCCAAAGATTAGTTTTGATGGAAAAGATTTTTTAATTTAAGAATTTAAAATTAATAAAAAAGTATAATGTTTTTGACAATTTAATTTTAATACTTTCTAGTGTTTAAGTTTGCGACTCTCAGGCACACGCTGTGATGTAAGATAAATGTAACATTGTTTTTCTGTAAATAGTTCCTTTCAGCCGTCATCTAACTATCCAGTACAACAATGTTATGTACATAGCCATATGTTTAACTACATATACACAGATATATAGTAATATATTAACTTCCATTCTTCAACAAAAACTAATATATTTATTAAAGTAACAGATAATATAATAATTTATAAATAATAAGATTGATTTTATGATACATTTATTCAAGTATCTTTATATAAAGTGACAGTACAAAGCCTGTGTCTTAACAGAACAACGATTTTAACTCTCTTCACAATAGTAATTAGGTTCATTTTGAATTATTAAGATCTAAGTTATGGCTAGTCTGTTGTAGTGAAACTTGATACTTTACATAATATTAATGTGGAACTGCTTTGGGAAACAATGTATTCGTAGTACGTTATATTGAATGATTGTAGTTGTCTAATTAATGTATTGGTTGATTTAGTTTTTCTTTTCCGAGATGTTTGATGAGCATCGCATTTAAGTACAATAGTTTAAAGCATTTACTTGTAGCCAGTTTATCTATACTTATTTCTTATATAATATTTAATAGTGTTGCTCTATAAAAGCTACGTCGGCCATTATATATTCTCAAAGTTATTCCATTTTTAATAGTCTGTAAGTTACAAAGGTGCATAATTCCAGTTATTAAGTATTTATAGGTGTTAAACAATTTTGTTTCGTATTATTTTCATGATAAGATTATTTTTTCTTTTATCTAAGTAAACTGTAGTTGTATAGTTATCGTGCAATTGATGAAAAGACAGATTTTATGTATTATTTCTTAATAGTTATGTGAAGATAAGAAGAGAAATATACGATTTATGAATGTGAAATATTATTATTGTTTTAATACAACCCCTTAGTTTAAGACACACTATACGACATTAAATAAAAAATCACTTCTTAAAACTAAAATAAAAAAATCGTTTTTTTAGTTCTAAACCGCTAGTTTAAAGTGAAACAATGAAACAATGGAATAATGGTATCTTCACTGTCGAAATTCCAATTGTGTACAAAAAAATTAAAGTTTAAACCTACACTTTTAAAAAATAGGTGTTTCCCCTTTTGTAACTTCATACGAAAATTTACACAACAAATCTTTTTAAATTCAAAAAAACCTGCCAGCCAGCTTATAATATAACTAAATATACAGACATATATACAATATTAATTAACGAGAATTTCCTCATAGTTTTGTAGGAGCAACATAAGGCAACAGAGTCTTATCCATGGCATTATATGTCAAACATAAACATATAACATACACATATTTTAATTGGACTAATTGTTACAACAATACCAGTAGGTGTTTAATTAAAACTAATATCATATATATATATTGTATATTGTGGGTATAATAATTGTTTTTGGGAATTTCTGAAACCGCAGTGACAAACGTTTGGACGTCAATTACATAGTTGTGGTATTTCAGTGTTCATTTTCTTCCTTGTAAGGCCAATGGCATGTACAGTCAGCTCCAAAAGTCGATGAACAGAATCAACTTACCAAAACACCTGTTCACAATAAAACGCCATAAGTTATAGTCGCAACTAGGAAACAAAATAGCCTGTACACCAGAAATTTACAAAAGTCGTTACACACGACTAATTCAAAAGTATCTGTGCACTAGTATTCCTAAAGTCGCTGTACACCTTCAATCCAAATGTCGCTGAACATCATTGTATCAAAAGTCACTAAACAGCGGTAAAGACAAAATTAGGTTAACAAAGTATATGTCGGCGCACTGGCCATCAGTGCATGTAAAACCTCTTTGTCAATAAATGTCAAACTTCACTGTCAACTGTCATTATTATTTCAAATCCATAGCGAACACCGAGCTCTGGTGAGGCGGCCTTCTTGTAAAACAGGACAATTAGTGTTGGACCTTCGTAGAATACGCACGCGGCCACGTGTTCGGTGGACGTTAAGTTCCAATTCAACGTAATCTTAATTATCCTTAGTTAAATTGTAATTGTTTTTTTTTGTGAGGGGAAAATCATCAAATGACTTCTCCCGTCCAGGGCCGGGCAGGAGGGAGTGTCAGACTCTTACTGACTAAAAACCCCCCTGTTCCTTCTCCTGCTTTGTGCCGAGGTCGCGGTGCCTCATTGCGCTTACCCCGCAACCCCGGCTGAACATCAGCCCTTTAGGGCCCCGTCTGTGGTGGTCTAATGGCTCTTTGAGGCGCGCGCGGAACGCTACGCGCCGTACGCTCGGGCCTGGTTCTGGTCGGGCGGCGAGCTGCCCTTACTCGCCGACCGCAGGCCCGTGCTTACGGTGGCCGGAGATCGTCCCTCGATCCCCGGCGCCCGTAGTGTCGCCAGTTGCGGCTGCTGGGGCGTGAGGAGGAGGATTGCTCCCTCACGCGGGCCGCCTTTCTCTTTGCGAGCATGACTGCTTTACAAAAGGAGGAGACTGCGTCCCAGTTCCTCTCACTCCGCACCATGGCCTCGACTAAGGCCGGGCGCGAGAGGTCGCCGCCGCCCATCACTTCCCTGAGGATACGGCGGTGCTCAGCCCAGCCAGGGCATGCCGCTACCGTATGCTCCACCGTATCCTCTAGGTGGTAAATTATAATTGTTGTGATTGTAATATCAAGAGTTGTAAGAAGAGTGATTATAGCAACAGTTATTTTATTGAAATACTGTCTTCCTGCCCAAGCGGGGCACACTTCCACCGTATATTCTACCGTGTCCTCCGGACGATCTGTGCTAGATGACACCCGAACGTTTCCTCCGACCAAGATAAGAAAGAAAACAGCGTTTTTCAGCGTCGGTGTTTGTCGAAGTTGGGTTTTAGTTTTTTTACTCTGGTTGTTTTGTCCGCTAGAGGACGCCGCATCAGATTTTGTAATACATCATATAACTTATAACCAGCGGACAATAAAGACGTATCTAATGATATGTCATATGTCGAATTCTTTAAATTTTAGCATTGCCGTAGTCGGGTAAAAATAATAAATTAAATGAAGGTAGGTTTTGTAAGATTTGCGCAAAGTAAATTACAAGTACCGTCACAAAAATCACTTCGTAGATCATAAGAGTTATGTTTATGTTATTTAATAAATTATAGATTAGTATGATTACTGACAATAAAATATAATTTATTTGTAAATAAGTTTTGAAATATGTAGATACTAACGTGTTAACATACATTATTAAGGTCTAGGAAACACTGTCCCAAAAGTAGCTGAACAACATAAGCGTCAAAAGTATATTAACATGGGGCAACATTAAAAATATACTTTGTTAACCTAATTTTGTTTTTACTGCTGTTTAGTGACTTTTGATACAATGATGTTCAGCGACATTTGGATTGAAGGTGTACAGCGACTTTAGGAATACTAGTGCACAGATACTTTTGAATTAGTCGTGTGTAACGACTTTTGTAAATTTCTGGTGTACAGGCTATTTTGTTTCCTAGTTGCGACTATAACTTATGGCGTTTTATTGTGAACAGGTGTTTTGGTAAGTTGATTCTGTTCATCGACTTTTGGAGCTGACTGTACCTATGTACGAGAATATAGTGCTCGGGAATATCGCTGTTCCATGTTATATGGACTTACATGGATATTTTGTTAGCAAGGCAAAATTTACCAATACTGGTCATCCTTTAAAAGCTTTCTATTTGACATATTTAGACAAAAATAATTGGTGAAACTGACACTACATGATGGCTTTCCCAGCCATACGTTTTGCCTCTAGGTCTTTTCGTCACCGAAGGACCTAGGCATCTTCAAAGTCCAAGTGAATAGAAAGGTGCTGGACAGGTTTGATCCATATCAAGCTCAAGTAATGGTCAAACGCTCATTAGGAAAAAAAGATATTTAAGCAAAAAAACATAGTTTGAACTCATACGTTAATGACATCTTATTATGACTGAGATCTGAATTAAAGTATTAAAATTTCATTTCATATTAAACTCCATTTCACGAGACAAACTCTGAAAGATACACGAGCTTAAAAATTATAAAGATATTCCTTTAAAAAAGAAAAACACATTACATTTGGATTTATCCTTATTATTTATTATTGTAGACTTTTTTATTTTATTCATTCTTTAATATATTTAATGTACTTAAAGTACTCTACATAAGGTAAGCTTAGCCCAATAGCAATTCGCTACCTGTGAAACCTTTGTGTGGTCCAGAGTTAAACTTTAGGTAGGTAGTATTAGGTTCACAATGCAAGCTAATACTTACGATACATATTATACTACTTATACATTTATTACCATATTACATACCTACATTACATAATATAATGTTATAAAACGTATCTATAGATGCTATGTGTGATGATCGCGATGACTGCCAATCCCTTCGAAAGAGACTCCGGACTTATTTCTTTTTATGACTACAAATGTAATTAATTTAGGCAGATATTTACACTATTTTAGGTAGGAAAATCATCAAATGACTTCTCTCTCCCAGGGTAGGTAGAGTGGGAGAGTCAGGCTCTTACTGACTAAAAACCACCTCCTTCTATCCCCTACATTATTGCGTTTGGTTGGGACCATCCGGGGGTCACCAACCCCGGATGATCTATTTGATGATGAATCTATTGAGCTGAAAGTTAATCATGACGTTTAGTTTTCATTACCATAAAGGCCAAGCTTTTTTTTTCTTTTTAAAACGTTGCCCCACACTAGTATTTTCTCCTGTGTCGTGGGTGCGGTTACAAACATACAATTTCACATGCACATGACATCCAGGCCCGGAGCAACAATTTGTGGGTCACACAAAGAGTTGTTCCGTGCGGGAATCGAACCCGCGACACGTTGCACGGCAGCCAGTTGCCCAACTACCGCACCAACCGTACGTCAGCTTATCTCTAAAGTGAAGTGAAAGTTCTGAATGTCTCTAAAGTATTTATTTATGGAGCCAAAAGGATAAGAAATATCATATTTAAAACTTTTCTGTTTAGTACCTAGTCATGCTAGGCAGTTCTGGGTCTTTTGAAACGAGGTCTGAAACAAAGCTAGACGTCTACGTCAGAGCATAACAATGTGGGAAGATGTTTAAGATAAAAAATTGGTCTTATACACGTAAAAGTTTTTTGCAATGACCTTTCCACGTGTAGCCGTAGCCGCCGCGGGCCGCGCGTACATACGCCTACGTATTGTAACTTGCGATTGCAAGAAATTTATTAAATAAAATGTTCAAAGAATATAGGTTAAACAATTTTAAACATTATGTCTATTAGCTCACGAACTAATACTGCATGCTTGTTATTGTTTGAATAGTAAGTAAAAGTTCAATCCTAAACATGTAGGTATGAAAATATGCCATTAAAAAAACAACATGCAAGTACGTCGCTTAAGTGTAGTTCTCAGATAACTTACCTATGTAATTTTTAATTAAATACCTTTGACTATTATAAGAAAAAAATACGATCAACATATTTTATAATCATGTGATTACTAGTTTGCAAAGTCGCGCCCTCTATTGAGTAATAGAAACAACCTTTAACCAGTTAGTATTCTAAAATAATAGTGCTGCTACTCAGTAGCAGATGTCGCTAACATCGAATCGTAGTGGTTCGTACGTTACTATGTAGATGGCAAGAGAAAAAATAAAAGATTTTTCTGGTAGGAAGTAATATTGACATGAAAATTACTTAGCCATAGGTCATAGTACGTAGGCAAAAGCAGGCTAAGTTAAATTCATGTAAAAACTATTTAGGTAATCTGGTTATTTGCTTAGTAAATTACCGGTTTCGTTTATATGCATAGCTTATTTATTAAACGATAGGTACAGATAATATTTAAAAACAATAATAATACAACTTACGTAGGTACATAATACATTATTTACAATCCTTATGACTTATAAATTATTTATTTATTATTTTTCACATTTATTATTATTTAATATTATTTTATTATTGCATTATTCGGTGCGGACAGACAGGCGAACCCAGGCACCTCCGAAGATTAACATTTCGAATCCATTTTTGCTTAACCTTGCAGGGATGCAAGTTTTCTCACCAGTAGTCAGTTTCAGGTCGCGAAGCAGCAAGTACAGCATTACTTTGACTTCACACAAGGCGAAACGGGATCCTGAACAAGAGAAAATGGACATTCAAATGACAACATCAAGGTTTTTAATCCTTAAAGGTTGTTATATTATGATGGCTCGAGTTTAAGAGAGTCATAGTCATATATTTATAGGAACACATTCCTGATGTTTCTAACTAATACTAGTATTTAGTAGTACATAGTAATTTCTTAATACTTTTTAATTAATCAAAAAAAAGAAATGAAGATATCCTATGTGGCTTAATTACCTTTTTGCATTAAATAGTATATTTACTTCTCTTTTTTAGCTAAAAAATAAGGAAAATTTAATTTTAGCATCAAATTACCGAATGAATGTGACTATTTTTTATTGATTTAATGATTTGAAAAATTGACGTGATTTCCAAGGAAAGTACTCAATTTCACACTCTTATGTTCTTGTTTTTTATAATAACTATCGTGAGACATACTAAATTAACTAAAAATCGCGGGTTACTCACGTGTACATGTTGAGAAAAGCTCTACTAGTTTCGAACCACAGAGGGGTTCTTCCTCATGAGCAGCGTGCGCGGACGCGGCGACGTCGCGCAGCCTACTCAAAACCTAAACTAGTAGAGCTTTTCTCAATGTACACACGTGAGTAACCCGCGACTTTTAGTTAATCTTATGTTCTTACTGAAAACTTTTGATAAGACACCGTACTTTATCCGATGTAGGGATTGAATCCAATACCACTTGCTCGGCAGTACCTACCTGTTGTAATCATTTAACCAATAAAACAAAATTTGAAAGGATAACTTATTTGAATAAAGGCTCCAGGTTCAAGCAGTTAATTGATAGGTAAAAAGATATATAAAAGGAACTCACCAATGCAATTCCTAGGTCCCAATCCAAACGGTAAATAAGTGAAGGGGATAATTTTGTCCCGGTTTTCATGCGAGAACCGCTCCGGGTCGAACTTTGTAGGGTTAGGGAAGTATTCAGGATTACGATGGAGGTCATACGCTGGGATCAACACACACTGACCTTTACGAATCTGCCAAAGAATTATAAAACATATATATATAATGCCGTAATCTGCCGCACAATCTGCCGTAAACTGTTGGTTGAAAAACAATGGATTATATTGAATTAATTGTTGTTTTGTTTGCCACCATTTGAAACTAAGTCAAGGGTTGGATCACCTACTAAGAGAAACCTTGGTACCACGTAGCCATGGCTCGATCTTTTGCAGTCTAAAAAGACAATTATGTCATGGTAAGCAATCGACGCTGCCCATGGACACCCTCTAAATGAGGGGATTTACAAGAACCTTGGCGGATTTTTACTGGTTAAGAATTTAAGGAGTGTGCCTCTAGTGAATTCACACGGGGAAGCAAAATGCAAGGCGTTGTTTCACGCTGGTTTTCTTTGAGGTTGTGGTGTCACTTTGGTCGAGGTCCATTCGTGACGAGTCTGACTCTATCATACCAGCCCTTTTTATGTAAATGTTAGCATGGTTTATTCGGTGGCTGGGCATCGAGTTGCCGTGTGGCTTGTAGGGATTCAATTCACGCAAGGAACAATTATGTTTGTTATGTATAAATCGTTGATTGAAAACGACGACACAGACAATTCCTTCTTTTTTAAATTCCTTCTGTTCAAATGAGCCCTAAATAAAACACGGGCTAGTCTATTGCTGCTTTAATCCATGTATCTTTCCGTAGTTAAGTAAACCACGTCTTTAATTGAGAAAATGTAAAATATAATAGATGCATCATAACGATAAGTGTGACTACAATTATGTAATTTATTACCTATTTATGAGTCAGGCAGACACGCTATTTATAGCATCGATTACTCGACACCGATAATGATTTATAGCTTGACTGGACACAATGCGCTATAGCTACGTACATTTTCTAACTTGCTGACATCGACTTAATTAAACATAGTATTTACATAATTCTTTAGCCTGATTTTAACCACTAAATATTAAATGCCTTCCCGCACCCTGGAGCGAGAGGGAGTTAGACTCTGACGGACTAAATATCACCCCATTTCTTTTCCTGCTTCAGGCCATGTTTGGTGGACTGTGGGTCGTTGAGTCGCGTGTGGAACGCTACGCGCCTGGATCAGATTCTAGTCAGGCGCCGAATTGCTCTTGGCGCCGTCTACAGACTTGCCCTTACGGTGGCCAAAGATCGTACTTACGATCAAATCTTTTTTAGCTTCTTTGTTGGGTCTGCCAATGTTGTAGTCGTTCACGCATATCCTGTCCATGAAAGGAGCTGGCGGCCACAGCCTCATTCCCTCTGGAAATAGTTAGATAATAATTGTTTTTCAATTAAATCATTTCATTAGTGTAGTATGATTAATGATATCGAAAATTACACCAATTGTCCAGAAAGGACCGATGCCTTTTAATGGGGTGACACCGTATTCCGAAACGTCAATCATAAATTGTACTATTATTGTATAAGTGAAAATATTTCGTCATACCATTAAGTCAAATTTTTGGCAAAACTACTATAGGTTTTTTTTTGTGAGGGGAAAATCATCACATGACTTCTCCCGCCCAGGGCCGGGCAGGAGGGAGTGTCAGACTCTTACTGACTAAAAACCCCCTGTTCCTTCTCCTGCTCTGTGCCGAGGTCGCGGTACCTCATTGCGCTTACCCCGCAACCCCGGCTGAAAAACTACTATAGGTAAAGTTGCAATAAAATATAACAATGGCACCTGGGTTAATAACAAACACTACTTTACCTGATACCACCATATCCAAATAGGTCATGCTCTGTATGCTGCTGTAGTCAATCTTCCCATTGTTCTTGGCATCATACTCCCTGATCTCCTGCACCAGCCGATCTTGCACGTCAGAGTTCAGTGCCAGTTCGTACAGTATGAACGACATTGCCGTGGAAATCGTGTCAAAGCCGGCGAACAAGAACAACGCTGCTTGTGCTACTAAGTCTGTGTCAGTCCATTCTGTAGAATATTATGAAAAATATAAACCTACCGAGATGTTTAAAGAAGACAACAATACACAATATTTGCCACTTAGGGTATAAGTAACAGCAACAAACAAAAGTATTACTACAAGTGTAAACAAAGCATTCTAATAGATTAGTACTCTTCAATTTGACTGGCTGTTGTCCCAGAAAAGTTGTAAATTTTTCTTAGGATCATGTAATAACATTCTTACTGCGAAGTTTTAGTAGGTAATGATTTTTTTGACACGTACCATAGTTATGTTGTTTCTTTCCAATATGTGACTCCTCAACTGTAGCAAAACCAGCATCAGCGTCTTTATCTTCCTTCTCGTGAGTTAGTTGTCCTGTATACAATAGTCCATTTGAGTGCTAACATAAATAAAGCCTTTATTATCTTCAAACCTCTCAGACTACAAGATCAATGGTATTACTTGTTCAAGTGTGGTAACTATACCTTTCTTCACCTCCATGAGGATGTTGATCATATCATTCCGCACGATCTTGTTCTTCTCTCTGTTTTTCATTGTGCCAAGGACTACGTTGGTGAAGTAGTCTGTTGTCTCTTTCGGCACCAACGATAGCTTCATCATCTAAAGAAGTACGAGGTTTTTAAGTAACTTATTAAAGAGATAAGCTATTTATTAGAAAAATCTCCCCTATATAAACTAATATATCCGTGTGTATCACGTAGGTTGTAGATATTCTTTGATCTACTTCGAAAACGATGGTCAGTCTCTCGAAAGGTTAGTTCCTTACGTCGGAGACGATATAGTTAAAAAGGAAGTTTTCAAATATATAGCGTACTAAAGATAGTAAATATAATTATAATTAGTAGAAACTTTCAGTCTTAAACAGAGGTAGAATCTGATACCCTTCATTCGCAATCTCATACACACTGACTGGATCATCTCAACTCGAAAATGTAAATGTTGTTTAGAATCTTGTTAACATAATAATATCTACAAGCATATTTACTGAGGTATTGTTACTTTTCACCTGAGCAACGGAAGGTAAGAGCCGGTAGAACATAATTTTCATGAACCTCCAAAAGGTAAACTTGGTGATGGACTTGCTGTTCAGGTAGAACTCGCTGTCAGCTGTCAGGGATTCTACCTTCAGGCCAAAGGCACAGGAGGCGATGACGTCATTTGCGTATCTAGTCATCACTTCTTTACACTCCATGTCGTAGTGAGAAGCTGTGAGAGAAAATTTGATCAATAAAGACAAGAGAGTAAATGAAATTAATGACAAATAGAAAAAGTATCGCAAGACAGCATAAAACAAAACTGAATGATGAATGAATGAAATGAATTAAATATACATATAACATTAATGCGTTCTGGGGTAAAAAATATACGAGAAGTAAAAGTCCATATCCATAAGTAAACTAAATGAGGTATTTAGAACTTTACATAAAATTGTAAGTGCATTTTGGGATCTTGAATATAACTTACTTCCAGAATCCTTGATTCTTTGCTTAAGCACTTTGATCATTTCCAAGCAAACTTCTTCCATGAATGGCACCATCAGCCGAATCTTGGAGCTGGTGAAGGCTGGGCTCATTGTAGACCGCATTGCCTTCCATTCGTCACCTGAAAAGTAATTTATCATTACCATTTTAATCCTTGATAGATCCTTGATGGATAGGCAAACACGGACAATATGTTTTTCCTAGCTCTACCAAGCAACACTTCAGATTCTGTTTAAGTATTGCTTTTACAAATCCAATCCGTAGTTTTTTATGGATTTCTTTTACTATCATTTGATCAACGGGGCCAACATCAAATTAATAAAGAACAATATTAATAAAACGTTTTTAGTAAATAAAATAAATAATGAAACGAACTGGCTCCACAACAATTATACATATGTCGTATGATCGTCAAGTATGATGTACGTGTTCAGCTATTAGTATTTCTTGAAACCAATTTATTTAATATTTTTTAACCAAGTTTTACTCGGTTGGCCCGGATGTCGTGGTGGCCCGGAGGTTAAGGAGCCCGCTTCTCATGCATGAGGGTGTGGGTTCGAAACCTGGCAAGTACCAATGTGACTTTTTCCGAGTTATATGTATTTTATACGATTATTTAGACACCACTGACATACGGTGAAGGTAAACATCGTGAGGAAACCTGGACTTATAATTTCTAATTATAAGTTTGAAATCGCCAACCCGCATTGAGCAAGCGTGGTGATTAATGCTCTAACCTTGTCCGTATGAGAAGAGGCCTTTGCTCAGCAGTGGGCACTTGTAGGCTGATGTTGATTGAATGATTGAAGTTTTACTCACCGTGCAGAAGTAGCAGACCTCTCCCAAACATAGGATCCAATTCAGTGGTGAAGCTTCGACGGTCTATGAAGTGTTCGAAGTCTTTCACTGTGATACGCTTGAGCATTTCCAAATCTCGGACTATTAGTATTGGAGTCGTCATATCGTAGTTTCCAACTATCCTGGAATCATACAATAGTTCGTAAGGAATGATAAGAAATCAAAATAGAAAAGGAGTAGTTATTGTTCATATACCGAGATTTAACTTAGTAAGGCTAATAGATTAGTAGTCTCCCTTTTAATAATTATAATGTCGTTGTGAACATCAATTTGTATAACTCAACTCAAAACTAAAACAACAAATTTTAGAGATTCCTATTTGAATCTGAAGGTTTCTTGTATGTCCTAGGTCGGCAAATGAGCAGACGGATTACCTGATGGTAAGCAATCGGCACCGCACATGACACTTGTAATACTAAAAGAGTTTACTACAAGCGTGTGGCCAGCCTGTTGTGAGTTATTAGAGATTAAAGGATAAGGGATTTAAATATTGAGGATGGGGGAAAGCTTGACAGAATTAAATACCAAAATGAAACAGACTTACTTGTCATCAGGGAAAGCATTCATAATCCTCGATATGAGATCAACGAAGTGCTCTTTCTGGAGCATTAACCATAAAATGTTGCCGAAAAGTGGGACCGTTGGCAAATGGTTGATGCCATCGCGGCGTAGGGAGCTGTACGCCTGGCGTAGGTACAAAGCCACTGCTGTGATGATCACCACCACCCACGTCAGTAGCAGCAGCATGGCTGGAAACAAAAACAATAGAATGCGCGTAAGGATTAAATTTAATCATCAATAGACTTTGGACTTTGGTAAAATGCTATCAAGTTGAAATTCTTATAAAGATATTTCACAGATTTTGTGAATACGTGTATTATGGATTTAAGAAAATAATTCGATGTTTATTCTCTGTGATATCATGCGACTGGTGGTAATACAGAAATAGAGGTAAGAATTAATAATATAGAATAGTTAAACTAGACAATTATGACATAAGTTACTTTACACTATATGTACATTGTTAGTTAATAAATAATATAGATATATTGAAGGAAAACCTGATCGATGGTTACAAAGGTGAACACGGGTAAATAACAGCCAGCACTGAGTAGACACAGAAAATAAGAACTATTTAAATTTGTGACCAGAGAAATATTATGTAACTTCATACATTTAAAACAAAAGAACTCTTATCGACACTTGCACACTTAGATAAATCAAAAAGTATTTACTAAATAAAGTCAAATGGTCAATTCTCTACAAGTAGCTTGATAAAGAAAAATAAACAAAATTTGATTATAAAATAACAATATGTGACGTCATAGATGTGATAACAATATTATTAAAGAGACATGGATACAATAGGTGGTATTTAATAATAAAACTTATGATGTGCGTGTTACCTTATAAATTCGTAGAGCAATCTGTTTACGAACAACCGGCGGCATCCGCGCCACTACTCCGCACTACTCAGATACTGGCTTTTGTGTGGCTCAACAATCGTAATTATACAATACATATAATTATAATATGTGTATATATATTTATTATAGAAGTCACATAGTAGTACTTTTGTTGAACGTATCAAAGCTTTATATCTTTTAAAATTGTACAACAGCTGTGAAGTATATATTGATATGTAGGAATAAGCGAGGTTCACCTATTCCTAACTTTCACGAGAATCGAACCCGCGCTGAGTGCGAAAGAAGCTACAAAACTAAGCAGTAAAGCGACTAAGCGATAGCAGGAAAAATGAAATAGATGAAGGCGGAAAATGAAGAATGTTATTATAAGATGAATGATTTACTAATACGAAAATTAAATAAAGATATACAGCAATTTTATAAAATAAGCAATATTGATCGCGAGGTGTGCGGCGCGTAAGCTAGCTAGCTGCGGACTGCCCGGTGGCCGCCCGTCGTCGCCACTCGTGCCGGTCGTCCAAGGCCATTCGTCGCTGCCTCCATACAAATATCACTCGCTCGCTGCGTGTGCGCGGCACGTGTAAGCCAGCGGCCGTTGACCTCACCTCGCACAAAGGATCGCCTGATGGTGGCGTGATTTTGAGGTGCGGTCTCACTGCTCTTGAGCGGAGCGATTCCGCTCGCGCGTCGAGGTGGGGTCCGAGTGTTTTGGACCGCCACAGATATGTTGGTAAAAGGCGTTTTTAAACTGAAAATATATCTACACGAAAACTATTTTTTTTTACCTAACACTAGGATTTTCTCCTGTATCGTGGGTGCGTTGACAAACATAGAAATCACACCCAGACTAACAACAATTTGTGGATCAATCAAAGAGTTTTTCTTGCCGGAATGGAACCGCGACACGTTGCCCGTAGTCATTTGCCCAGCCAATGCGCTAACTGTGCAGTCAAGAATTATATTTATAGTTAAGAACTCTTCCCCGTTGTCTCAAAGCAATTTAGATACAAAATAACGGATGCACTTGTTAGGCTCCAATTTTATCTAAGACCATTTTATTCTTTGTGAGGGGTTTATTTTAGTCGTTGAGTTGATTGAAAAATAGAATAACAGGAAATTGTAGCTCTTGTTGTACGAACTCTGGACTGTTCGTAAAATAGCAGTAGATGGATAGACAGTATTAAATTTTCTATGATATACATACATATGTATGATCTTCGAGCCACCGTGGGGAGTAATAGAAGCTTCTCCATTAAGGTGAAGGTATATTTTTAGCATTAGATTTATTAAGGCTGGTAATGTTGTTGGCTAACTCACTTGTGACAAGAAAGATACCCTTAATTTTTCTTATATAGAAGGTTGCAGATCAAACCGACATAAAATTTACATTAGGGTAGGATTGAATTCCATCTATTCTGCAAATTTACCGAATTTGAGTTATTTTACTTTTAATATAAAAAAAAACGATTAGAGTACTATAAATTATACCGGAATTGATTGTAACACACATGTAGGAAAGACATGCTTCGGCACAAATGGGCTGGCTCGACCGGAGTGAAACCTTGGTCTCACAGAAAAACCTCCCCTTACTCAATCCTCAAATCCCCATACCTAATTACCTACAAGAAGTCAGCAACGTACTTGTTTCTCCGCACTTGTTCTTTTGGTACTACGAGTTCTGCCGATTTCTACCAGCAGCTAAACCAGTAAAATTTAGTTTCAGACAAAACCGCCACGAAATAAATGTACGTTTAAATGAGAAAGAGCCAAGCTTGATAACCTGGCTCGATCGGAGTCCATGGCCTTACGAAAAACTGTCATGAAAACCACAGCGCTATGTTTCGCCGTTATCCGAAACTCATCCTTCGCCTATCCCCTAAATCGAAATCTTCGAAACACTAAGCCAAAAAGACGGCAACACACTCCTACTACTAGTGTTGCGTGCATTCATGGGCGGCGCCGATTTCTTACCATCAGGTAATTACCTCATTTGCCACCTGACTAAGAAACAAAAGCAAGGTGGCTTTTTGTGTAGATGCTGATATAGCCGATGATCAGTACTGAACTTGTTTTGCTCAGGTAAGAATTTACATTCTGACATAAAAATAGTTTTTTTTTGTCTGCAGTGATCTATTTACATCAAGTTTTCTTATAGTATTACATTTAATTTTAAAATGAATACAATATTAACACTTGTAACGTATCCTAATCTATTACTAAGTGTGTACCTGATAAGGCAATTGTCACTGATACGATTGTATGTGTGAAGTGCACTCCACTGATAGCTAAGATAAGATACAAGTACAAGTAGTATAATAAGTACAGATTTCTTTTTCCTTATACAATGTTAAGGTAAGAATTGTAATAATGATGCAAATTATGAAAGTAATTTATGACTACAAAGCCGCCTCGCGGAAACCGCTTCGTAACAACTGATTTAATGTAATGAAACCTAGTATGAATATTGTAAAAGTTCTATGGAGGAAGTTCAAGTTCTACCCTCAATTAGCCTGGCTTCAAGTAGTAGCACGAATTAAGTATGTAAAAAAAAATGAAACACGAAATGAATAAATCAAGTTTTTTTATGTGATACGTCGGCAAACGACCATCCGGATTACCTGATGGTAAGCAATCAACGCCGGCCATGGAAACTCGCAACGACGGAGGTGTTACGAGTGCGTTGCCGACCTTTTGGGGATTAGGGATTTGGAAATTTTTGGAATGAGGAGGGAGGGGAGGGGCAGGATTGGGCCTCCGGTAACCTCACTCACATGGCGAAACACACAAAATGGTTATTTCAAATCGGTTCGGTTCGACCGGAGTGATACCACAGTGATATTCATACGTGCCGAAGCATGGCGCTCCCACACTTAAAGTTATCAATAATCTCATTAAATTGTATAAAATAATGCTAATTCTATTGTATTTTATAGCATTTAATAAACAGTAAAAATGTGCAAACTACTATGCGCGTACAAATCCCGTTGAGTCATAACATAACAAAACAAAGCTCTTCGTAAACAATTCTTTTTTTAGAATTTTGATCCGTGATGACTATGTACAAATAGTACGCTTAGATATATTAAATTAGCGATAACAGGTGTAATTTCAGAACCGATAATGATTCAGTTAGTATTTACAGTTTTGTAAGTTACGTATATAGGTATATGTTCCAGATGTTGTAAATACGATAGTAAAAACATAATCAGGGGCGATAAAAAGCTATTTTTACTTTGTTTTGTTTTGATCTAAATGTTGATATCAGCAACTCATCGAAAGAACTAGCTACTACTGAAAGTGTACAATTCGAACCAGGACTTTCGGAGATTAGCGATTTCAAGCATAAAAATTGTCTTTTCTTCATAATAAGGCTATGGATTAGTTTGGGACGTTACACAAGGAATAAACACAATAACACTACCAAATTTTTTTCAACTTTTTCAATCTATCTGCACTCTAACAACGACTTTGTGTAGACGACATAGGACTGAAACAGCTGCATAGCTGCATAGATGTAGGAAAACTATAAAGTAACTTTTCAGAAAAGAGCATTTTTCCTTTGCAGGTGTAATGATGAAGACGTGTATAACAACAAAATAAAATGTAACTGATTACATCAATCACGCGTTGTTCTTTGTAGCATGTGCGTCTGATACGAGTCCCTAAGCAAGATACAGTGTTATCGAGATTAGCACGGCTATGATTTTTCCGCGGATTTACTCAAGTCACAGTTGAAAATTATCCTACAGGATGTCGTTTCAAGGACAAAACGTTTCCTTTTATTCTTGAGGGCTTTTCAGCCATCTGCATACAAAATCACATTGGTGAGTTTTTAAAAAAAACAAATCAGAAAAAAACAATTCAGTCGAGCGATTGATTATTTGATGGATAAGACTTTTTGATGGGATAAGTTAGCAAATGACCTGATGAAAAGCAATTGGTGCCGCCCACAGACATTCCTAGCCCTAGTATATATAGCCCAGATAAGATTGTTAGCATTTTTGTACGTTGCTAGGGCTAATAGGACAGGGATCTAGGGATTGATGATAGGGAGGAGTATTAGTCCTCCGGTACATTAGATGAAGACAAAAAAACAGTAGTAAATTTTTATTAGAAATAGTATTGTATTCCGGCTGGAGATATTGTAGACAAATATAAATGCAAGATAACAATGAATTACAATGAGGTTGCAAGAATGACAGATAACTAACAGTTTTATAACATTCATATTCATGATGACTTGCGTCTTTCGAGGGCTAATTAGTTTATTGTCACAGACTGTTTGTAAATAACTCCTTAACTTTGTATTAACAATATTTTTTTTTACTGCCGGCTCCATAGTATAATTTTTTTTGTCGGGGGAAAATAATCAAATGTTTACTCTTGCACAGAGTAAGGCGAGAAAGAGTGTCAGACTGTTACTGACTAAAAACTGACCCGTTCCTTCTCCTGCTCTAGGCCGAGGTCGCGGTGCCTCATTGCGCTTGTCCGCAACCGCGGCTGAACAGCCCTTTAGGGCTCCGTCTGTACTTGTATATTGGCAGACTTATTGATTATAAAATTGTTTGCTAGTTCTCGTTCAGAAGATATTACGGCTTCTTTAACAGGGAATTAAGTGGTATTATCATATCCACATCTTTAGTCTTTTTTCGTAAAATTGAATAAGTTAGCATCATCATTATCCTATACACTACTGTGGGCTGCTTTGAGCTTCATTCTTACAATTATTGTCTTATTTTAGTTTTGTATGTTATTATGGGATTTTTCAAAGGGAGGAAATCATCAAAAGATTTCTCCCCCCTTAGACTTGGGTGACATATCAAATTCTTACACTAACTAAATACCACCCGTTTCTTCTCTTGCTCTGAGTCGGGGCAGCAGAACATTATTGCGCTTGCATCCTCTACCCAGATTTTATTATGGACTATTTTTAGTGCTTATTTCAGTGTGAAAATCTAGATATCATTTGACCTTTCAATAATGGTAATAATATGATATACAATTAATAAAAAATATAATAACAGCAACTTATAAACACACTACGTAAACTTAGCTCAGTAAAAACTATTTAAATTACATTAAATGCTACTAGATGGCGTTAGTAGTACGATTGTGAAGGAACGTTTGTAGATTACGCTATTATTGTGATGTTGTTCTGTGTTGCTTTTAACAATAACAAGTTTTACTTAATATACGATAAGTTATATCCCTGGCAGAACTCCTGATTCCAAAGCTACAAATTAGCCATCCGATTTACACACAGCAGTTATGACAATTGTTCAACGTTGAGTATGTTTTGCTCTTTCTTCTTCATTCGAATCTACACTTTGGAACATGACAAATGACAGACTCTTACTCTATTTTAACGTTTCAAAAGTACATACTTTATTTGGTTTAGTTGGAATATATTATTGAGTCTTTTGACTTTTATACTGTACGCTAAAAGAAGTCACAACATGTAAGCTAGTTTCTTCCTTTTGAATCTGAAACTGGTATCTTCGAAGCTTCCGTGTAGGTGTACGCAAAAGGGCACCGATTGCTTACCATCAGGTAATCCTTCTGCTCGTTTACCGACCTATGCCAAGTTAATTAGAATCAATTGCGTTCTAATTATTTGAAGTCCTTGACAACTAAAAGTTAATCATTCGATAGCGAATAATAGTAGGTATCTACATATGTATCTAACTTAAAGTTTACGTTTGATTAGTAAAGAGATACATTTGTTTTTATAAAATATGATAATGTTGCGGCAGGTTGCTTATCATAATTATTAAATTTGCAAATCACGATGATTACTACAATATGCCGCACCAATGTATCGATCCTCCAGGAGCTTAAGATCCAGACAAGGCTCTCTTCCATATGCCTCCGCAGGATTCTGGAGTTTTTTGGACACACTGCCAGAAGGGGTAATGATAACTTGGAAAAGTTACTAATCACTGGTAAGGTGGAAGGAAAGAGACCTAGAGGCAGAAGTCCGATACGCTGGACGGATCAGATTCGCACCACTCTCAACACTACAGTCCACGATGCTCTCCACTCGGCGGCAGATAGAAATAGATGGCGGAGAGTAATACGCAGTACACTGCTTCCACGAGGTGGTCACGACCCTCAGCACTGAGGAAACCGACGCGAGGAGGAGGAGGAGGACTACAATATATGTGAAAATATTTATTGGATCCGGTGATTAATGTTATCTGAAAACAGACAATAAATTATTGATATACCTATAAACTTTTCTGTCGTAATAAAAAAAAGAAATATTTTTCTAAAAAATAGCATACGTTTTTTTATATTTATATGTTAGCGTTTTGATACCATCTTGCCTGGTGGTAAAGGATGGTGTAATCTGAAAGTACAGGCACTCTAAAAGAGTCAAAGCTATGACAATCGTGTATTCTGGGGTGAAAATGTACTTCTAAGAATCATAGTTAATGGTTAAATCGTCCCACCGTACAAAACTTAATTAAATTTTAAAATTTCTTTGATGGGAAGTACTTTGAGGTTATACGTACATAACATAAATTTAACCGTTATGGTCAGTTATTGTAATTAGCTGACTAACCGTTCCTCCTCTTGCTCTGGGCCGAGGTCGCGGTGCCTCATTGCGCTTACCCCGCAACCCCGGCTGATTGTAAGAGGCTAAGACCCATATAATTTGAGTTATTAATTTGTTTACAATTAAGGAAAATAGAGTAAAGTTAAACGATTACTTTATCTTATTTTAATATGAATTATAGAAAAAAAAAACAGAAATTATGTAATGTTTTGATATAAAACATCAAAACAAAGGTAAACAATGTTTACATGATAATAGAACTTAAACAAAAACGTTTCGTCATAACAATAACAACTTCACTAATGAATAAAATAATAATATCTAAATAAAATATTTACAAACACAACGTTGTGTTGTGCAACCGAAGGCCGGTGACGCTGTTATAGCAGCGGTAAGACTTCCCACCTGGTGCTTTCCGGGCACGGCAGATTCGGTAGGTTCCTGTTTCAGATCCAGCGGGAGGAAAAGCCCGAGATTGTGAGCAATAGCGACCCCGGGGTTTGTCCTATAGATCAGAACCAGATGGTCCTCAGAACATCTAGAGGACACAATTGAGCATACGGAGGCGGTGCGCCCGGCTTGGGTTGAGCACCGCCGTGGCCGCAAATATAATCAAATCAAAATCCAACTTAACCATAAATACTGCTTCTAGCAGTAAATATTTCCGAAATTTGTGCTTAATTAACAGTGAATTCATTACTAATTCAATTGCAACAAGTAAAGGCAACGTCATTTACAATATTGTTAATAATTAATTATGTGACTTATTTGCCATACAAATGTGTTAAATAATGTTTTAGATGGGTTAACGGCAACATTAAAATACTATAATAACATTGTATATCGAGTATGTAAGCTAAAATTATTAACATTTTAGTTTAATTCATACTAAAACACATAGAACAGTTAATTTTGTCAAAGTAATTCAATGACTATTTCACTATTCTAGTATTGTTTGTGTATATAGATAATATTATATCAACATACATAAATATATAATAATGTCTATCAATAATTCCTCAGTGGTGGTAATTTGTTGGTTTATTACTGTTTCACGTAAAATCTACTCACCGAATGCAATTTAAATTTGACAAAGGGATAGATTTTTTTTTTTTTTTTGTGAGGGGAAAATCATCAAATGACTTCTCCCGCCCAGGGCCGGGCAGGAGGGAGTGTCAGACTCTTACTGACTAAAAACCCCCCTGTTCCTTCTCCTGCTCTGTGCCGAGGTCGCGGTACCTCATTGCGCTTACCCCGCAACCCCGGCTAAAGGGATAGATGAGAGTTTAGAATAACACATATACAACTTAGTACCTGTATACTGTGGGCGAAGCCACTGGCAGAAGCTAGTCTGTATATTTGTAAGTCGAATAATTATCGAAGATTAAATATTTTTTGTACGTTTTATCTTCAACAACAAACCGCACGTGGTCGGCTGATAAATGGTACAATAATACTCGCGTGCCAGACACAGCACACTCAGTCATACTTCTCTAGCCTTACAAGCAGCACGTTTGAGAACTGTGCTTATTAAATAATTTTGTATATTTACGTCGCCAGTGAACGATCAAGTATTACCTAAAACGTAAGTTATTTTACTGTTTTTTTTTTACAAATGATAACCATAAGAAAGGAAATGATAGTGTTTTACTGCAAAATAAATTATTGTAATTTTATTTGCACTCAAAATTAACATTGTAAGAATTATTTTTTAGTAAAAAGTAAAAGTTATTTAGTTTTCGGTACAACCGGTTATTAAGTAACATGTAGGTATGTATAACAAGTCGTGCTAAGGAACCAGTAGCACCAGTTTACTTGACCACTATCTGTAAATACTTTTGTGTGTTTACACAGGTACTTTAAGTACACCTGTACTCGCCTCTTTATTATCACGTGGTCAAATTATCAGTCTAATAGACTTAAGATAATATTGTTTTTTTCGTTAACTAACCGAGTATTAGCTTAGTTTATTGTTTGAGGGGGGACAATTTATTCAATGACTTTTACTACCCCGTGTTAAGGAATAGATTGTCAGAATCTTACTGGCCAATGCCTGCTTCTGCTCCGAGTTAGGTCACGGTACATTACTGATTTTAAGCCCGCAACTCTGGCTGACCATTTTGGCCATAAGGATCCACATCTGTAGTGTTGGAAAGCGATGCGCCGTATGCATGGTTCTGAATCTGGTCAAGTGGCGACCTGTATTAGTCTGATGAGGCTCCTTGTGCCTGGCAATGGACTTATAGCTCAACCTCTATTACTTGATAGTCGTTCTAACACCAACTGAAATTTTACTAATGCGATCTGGTAGGACTTGTTTCTTGAATTCGTCATCATCAGATTATTGTCCGTCCGATTTTGTAAAAAAACTAAATGTAATGAAGACGTATCAATTTGTAACTCAAAGCCAAATTCAAAATCATTTATTCCAACCAAACCATAATTGTGAATCGTCAAATTCGACTATCCGATAATGTCGCGTCATTGGTAGTCGCTGGTCCCCTATGTAATTTCGGCGTAGGTACTAGGCTAGCATAAATTGCGAAGACCTTGACCCTTGTTAAATAAGCATAAGCGACTAATTGAATGTCTATCAATGAAATTAGTCATGAGTAGTTTCTTCCTACTTACATGTCACCGGCATTCAAAAAGAATCTACTTGTGAATTTTTAAAGGTGGATAACCACAAAAGTAATCATATTTAATTATCATTCTTGTAGCAATAAAATAAGCTGTAGTTGTGTGAAACCTAGTCAACTTTTAAAACACGGTTTTTAATAATGCTTTTAGGATTAAATATTCTTCAGGGCTGGCTTTAGGGAAAGAACGTATCATTGAGTGAAATGGCCGGTGAGAGCAAATAAAATATTATATGCCTAGCTTCCATATATTTTAGCACGTGCTGACGCATGACAAAGTAATATCAATGTTTTTCGATTAAATATTTATAGATTAGAATATCTTAATTACAACGTCCTCGGTGGCTGTCATGTGGGAAATTGAAAAGTGATTAAGTAGGTACTTTAAAATATCAGCTATCTACTTACTCATGTTCATAGAATGACCAGCAGAAATTTTGCATTTTTTGCTTTAGTAAGTACATGGGGACAAGTGGACAATTTAGCAATTTGCTATATTATTTTTAAGATAAGAAGAGTTTTTATACTTAAATATTTTAATTGTATAATTCAGATCTTACAAGTATCTAACAGTACAGAGATTAAGATAGCGAAAGAACCTATGTCCAGCAGTAGGTGTCTTGAGGCTAACAATATAGTAATATGTAATGTAATGTAATTAATTAACGTTGCCCAACTAACTAGGATTTTCTACTGTGTCGTGGGTGCGTTAACAAACATTTAATTCCACATACACATGACACCCAGACCCGAAACAAAAATTTGTGGATCATACAAAGTGTTGTTCCGAGCGGGAATCGAACCCGCGACACGTTGCACGGCAGTGAGTTGCACCCAGCCACCGCGCCAACCGTGCAGTCGAATATGATGATGATGATGATTAATTAAATGTAGTTAAGGACAAAAAGGAGAGAATACCATCTCAATGAAGGCTAACAACTTGATTAGCTACAATATAATTCTGTTGTTGTTGTTGTTTCAGATGATACTCCCTCTGATCTGGTTGGCGGTGCTAGTCGCTGTGCTAGCACTGTACTTCCGTCGAGTGTATTCCAGCTTTAACCGGGAAGGCATCAAACACTTCAAGCCGGTCCCTTTGCTCGGCAACTTGGGCTCATTGCTGTTACGAAAAGAGCATTTCTGCGACCATATCATCAACCTCTACAAAAGCTTCCCTGAAGAACGGTGAGATTCTAAATCTTGTATATCAATATTTGCTTCTTCCCGTGTAATTGATCAAATAGAAATGAAGGTGTCGTTTTCAAATCGAATCCTATTTTTTTTATATAAACATTCATACCGGACAGCAAAAAGGTTTTTAGCGTCTGGATTATGATTCTCGATTTGTTCAATAGGTTTTTATCATTGGTAATTTAGTTACGTAGGTTCAAATTACATGTATTATATTTTATAACATAATATAATATAATTTTACTACACAGATTCGTTGGGAGATACGAGTTTCTGAAGCAAGTAATTGTTGTCCGCGACCTCGAGCTCATCAAGAAAATGACTGTCAAAGATTTCGAGCACTTCCTCGACCATCAATCCATGTTTGACACCGGCGACTCCTACTTCTCCAGGAACCTCTTCGCTTTGCGAGGTATTCACGATTATCGATGATCAAAATGTATTTTTACTACACACATTAAAAAAAAAAGAGTGTATCTACAAATATACAATTTGTCATCCGTATCTCACTCAGACCTGATTAACTATTTGTGGATCGCACAAAAGAAGCAGAGTTGATCCACAACCGATTGCATTACGTCAACGGTAAAGACTAAATATAATGGTTTGCCTTAAAGTATTTTTTACAACTAAATACTATACTATAATAAAAACCAGTGTAATTTAAAATACGGAAATATTTGTGATACAAGTGCATTTCTGACCTTTTGAGTTTATAACAAGATACTAGTTTAGAAAAATACACTACCTAATCAAACATTATCTGTTTTGAACAGGTCAAGAATGGAAGGACATGCGCTCCACATTGAGTCCAGCGTTTACTAGCTCCAAAATGCGTCTAATGTTGCCTTTCATGGTTGAGGTTGGAAATCAGATGATGCAAATGCTTCACCAAAAAATTAGAGAATCCAAAAGTAAGTATCTTTTTTTGGAAATTTAGTTGAGGATATTGTTTTTTTATAATTAAGTGACTGGACATCAAAATGGCAAAATTTGTTTATAGATGGTACCATAACTATAGATTGCAAAGATCTGACAACTCGTTACGCTAACGATGTAATTGCAACCTGTGCCTTTGGACTAAAGGTGGACTCCCAAACTGACAAGACCAATAGCTTTTACATGCTGGGCAAGGAATCTTCCGACTTTGGTATCCGCAAACTGTTAACTTTCTTGATTGCTTCCAGTTCACCAGCTTTAGCCAAGGTAAGTCAATGTTTTAAAATGATAACACACACTTTATAGGTAGTAACTGCAGTGAGACATACTACATTTGTTGTAAATAACGACTGACTCGTGTAAATTAACTGGGAGAAGCTCTACTAGTTTCAAGTCACATCGGAGCTTATACTTATACGCAGTCTATCATCGCCAATTAAAAATAATTAGAATCAGAAATGAGCAGAAGTTATCAATAAAAACAAATATGATTTTATCATAATACAGTGGTAAAATGCCTAAGTACCAACAAATTTTTTGGATGCCGAACTGATAAATCAATGATAATTTAGAATTTAACGATGCAGGTTAAGCCTGATAATACTGTCTCTTGTGACTTCTGTCTCTGTGACTTTCACTTTTAATTTCATACAATTTCTGATAATTTATACAGCCTGTCTATTTTTTCTTGTATTGAGAATATAATTTAAATGTTTTTTTTTATCATTAAGTTTACTCTATTAAACTTCATTAAAATTAAGTATCCCATCGAGTCTATACGGTAACCTCTTTAACATCATCCATTACTTCAAAAATATTTCTGTAAACGAGCAACATACATACCTACCTATATAAACAAATGTTCATGTTGATATTATTGTATTTAAATCGATTACTACTTGATGCTAATTTTATGAGCGACATATAAACATTGAGTCATGTAGTCGTTTATATTCTATCAAAACTTGATGCTCAAGGTCAATGTCTGGCGCAGTTACCGTACAGCGGATGTGTACTCGAGAGACGTAATCATATCAAGTGCCAATCATGAGCATAATAAAATACTATGCTGAAATAATACATTAATCAAAGGGCACAAACGCTAAGACAAAGACGATAAAATCCATTAACGAATTAAATTATTATAGTCTGGTGGATACTGTAGTAGTAGCTGCTGTCTTAATTATGAAACGATTTAATTTAAAATTTTGTATTAGGTATATAAAATTATCGTTTTTTCTCACAGTTATTGAAGTTGGATTTCCTATCGGAAGAAAGCAAGAAAGGATTCAAAAAAATTGTACTTGATACGATGCAGAACCGAGAGATGAAGGATATTATCAGACCCGACATGATTCATTTGTTAATGGAAGCTAAAAAGGGTAAGCATTTTAAAGACTAAGATAGTAAACGATAAACGCAGAAGTACTATTTCTAACAAAATAATGTACCTAATTGCAGGTAGATTAACACACGAAGAAGATAAAACAAATGATGTGGCTGCTGGATTTGCTACCGTTCAGGAATCAGCTGTAGGGAAAAAAATGACTGATAGAGGTGCGTATTAAGTTAAACAAAACCAGGATCATAGTAAAATGTCTATATGTAACGTCTATATCTAACAGTTTTTAACACAATCTCGTAGAACATGACAAAGATTGACGATCAAGCCATTAAGGTTATTTAATCCACGTACGATTACAAAAAAGTTGGATAAAAAAATGCGCATTCATACCCGGATGTTTATTTAAGTAATTGAAATACGATACATGAAATCAGTCGTCAAGGGATACAAAATCAATGTATTAGAATTGATTAATACCAAACACATGCAAATAAATATAGGTATATGAAGTCAAACAATTAATTGTAAATAAGAGTCTATCGCACAGAGAGTTAGTTGATTATTCTAAACTGTATTTATCTATATGTACTGATAATACATTGTTTCCACTTTCAGTATGGACTGATGATGATCTCGTCGCTCAAGCAGTGCTGTTCTTTATTGCCGGATTTGAAACAGTTTCAACTGGGATGGTGTTCTTACTCTACGAGCTGGCTGTAAACTCTGATATTCAGGAACGGTTAGCGCAAGAGATCAGGGAGACTGACGCCAAGAATGGCGGCAAGTTCGACTTTAACTCCATACAGAACATGGTCTACATGGATATGGTCGTGTCAGGTGAGTCTGGTGAAATAGTTAATCATATTTTAGGGTGCGTTTTCGAAACCCGAAAAATACGTACATAACTTTCTTCGAAATATATATTTTGTACTTTCGAAGATAATTTTGAGATCACTGGAATACGGAGACAGGAAACCTGACCTACATAGCATTTTTTGTTATAAGTTTCAAATTGCCAACCCACATTGAGTATGCGAAGTGATCAATGCACAAATCTTCTCCGTGTGAAGACACATTTGCGCTGACTTTTACGCTGACGATGACAAATAAAATAACAATATTGTATTTTACAGAGGCTCTCCGTCTGTGGCCACCTGCAGTTACTCTAGACAGAATATGCACTAAGGACTACAACATGGGTAAACCTAACCCAAAATCTGAGAAAGATTTCATTGTGAGTAGCATTATAGCACATACGCAGTTTCAACACCAAGTCAAATTATTTATTCTAATCAGTAAAAAATGCGTCCATTTATGGGTGGATTTTAAAAATAATACTGATATTCTACCTCCATAAAGCAACTTGATTTTGAAATTTAGAGGAACATGTTTTATCTTGCAGCTCCGTAAAGGCACCGGAGTCTGGATACCTGCATATGCCTTCCACCGCGACCCTCAATACTTCCCCAACCCTGACAAGTTCGACCCCGAGCGCTTCTCAGAAGAAAACAAGCACACCATCAACCCTTTCGCTTACATGCCCTTCGGTGTTGGACCTAGGAATTGCATTGGTAAGATGAAATAGAAAGTGCAAAGTTTAAGAGTTACATATTCTTACATTATTTTTATGATCTGAAATAAAAAGAAATGAAAAAAAAAGGTTCAAACTTATTTTTTTTTCTCAGGGTCAAGATTTGCTCTTTGCGAGATAAAGGTTATGGTTTACCAGATTCTCAAAGAAATGGTGCTTTCCCCATCTGAGACGACCTGCATACCAGCGAAATTCAGCAAAGAAAGCTTCAGTATGAGGTTGGATGGAGGGCACTGGCTTAAGTTCTCGCCGAGGTATTAGAAGAAAATGATACTGAGCATGATGCTTTAGACATTCAGGATAGATTTTTAATTTTACAGCGCATTTTGGTCAGTGGAATATGTAGAAATAAATCGTAGTTTAACGATGCAAAGCATTTGTTACATTAATTGATTGTTTCAAAATCTGTGTCTACCCAATATTGTTTTTATTGATACCAAAATTATCAAAATGTAATAAATTAATACCTATGATTATGACTGTAATAATTTAAAATACTATTTTTTTTCACCTGAATTAATTGAGAAGTAATCTGTTTAACACTACATAATATATTAATTTAGTAATATTGTAACTAACCAAAAATAGCCTTGTCTTGGCATTTTAAGTGATAATATAAGTAATATTTTTAGTGAATAAGATTATTACGCTTAACATAAGGATTAATAAAGTAAGTGTAAGACTGTTTTATATTGTAAATAAATGTAACACAAAACATTATATTCTGTATTTTTGTAACTACCTACAATTTATAAGTGTACCTCAATCTCAACAGGTGTTTTTTTATTTTATTTTTTTGTGAGGGGAAAATCATCAAATAACTTCTCCCGCCCAGGGCCGGGTGGGAGGGAGTGTCAGACTCTTACTGACTAAAAATCCCCCTGCCTTCCTTCTCCTGCTCTGGGCCGAGGTCGCGGTGACTCATTGCGCTTACCCCGCAACCCCGGCTGAACATCAGCCCTATAGGGCCCCGTCTATGGAGGCGCGCGCGGAACGCTACGCGCCGTACGCTTGGGTCTGGTTCTGGTCGGGCGGTACAGCAGCCAGTTGCCCAGTTACTGCGCCTACCGTGCAGTCTAACTTAAAATTCGTACCTCATATGCACACATGCATAACAATTCGGTGCCTTAATGGTGCGCTCCAGGCTACTACGACTTTTTTCGTTTTAACAACACTTTACAAATCTTAAAAAGGAAAAACAACTAAACAAATTAATAATGATTTCAATGCACAAATAAAACTTGAAACTGTTGACCTAAAAGTATACCAAAATCAAAATCATTTTTTGAGTACGCACTTGTATTTAACCTTACCCTAACAAAAATTAAGATTAAAATGTAAGATCTCACCACCTCTACCGTAAACGTGTTCAACCCTTGCCTGCTCAAGTTACTATTTTTGTCCTTGATCACCTGGTGGAGTTGAAATCCTAATTGCTCAATTTCACGAGGCCAAAATTTTTACCCTGCCTATCTATTTATTGCAGTTATAATAAAGTGTCTAATACGAGTACTGTTTTTACCGAATAACTGTTGTTCACTAGTCGCGCGGCTACCAACACGAAATGTCACAAGGCATTTCGTGGGGTCGTCAGACGGGTAGTGAAATACGCTCTGATGATAGACAGACCTTGGGATAACGAATCAGCACCGCCCATGGACAACCACAAAGTCTGGCAAAGTAAAAAGGGCTGACTCTGCCTTTTTAAGTTTTTAGTCTCGCACGGCGCAGAAGAAAAGGGGTGGTTTTTAATATTCCTTCTCTCGCCACTCAACCTTTATAGAAATCTTTGGACGTTTAGCCCTCGAAAAAAGTATTAATATGAGGTTCAATACAAATATACTGACTCAGATGCCTTAACCGAACACCATACTTTTTTGTCTTAAAAGAAGAAGTGATTTAGCTAATGCTAACCCGGATAAAGCTGTAAACTCTAATGGAAATTTCAAATGAAAATCAAAATCTTTTTTGTCAATTGTAGCTTGTAGCCAACTTATAAATAAAAAATACCAATGATGTATTTTATTCACACTTTCATACCTATTCTCTTTTTATTTATGATGACGTGTCATCGCCAAAGATAAAACGTACATTGTTATTCTTTTAATCTTCAACAACAAATCACGCAAGGTTAGCTTCACGCAGACATGACGCCGCGCACTCAGTGAGACTTCAATCGCCATTCAGGCCACACGTGAGCCAGAACGCAGTGAGTTCTCGCGTGTATATTCAAATTTTGTTTTAATACATGCTACTGTTTTTACACATTAGTAAGTTAAAAATTCGTTGATGCTTTCGTAGTCTCTAGTTCGCTCTCTCTTATTTGTCGGCCCAGTAGTGGCTGGTAGTGTTTCTATAATTTTTTTTTAATCATATTTAAATCGCATCTGAAATTTTGTTTAATTATTCATATAACGTAACGTAGGTACTAAAGCTAAGCTTCTTCCATATTAAGAGTGTAGATTTATTCGAGGAAGCAGGAGCAAAAAGTGCAAGTTTTTCTCAAATTGAATTTTCACAATCTGGTATTTGTGTATCACTTCGGAAATAGCGTTGGAAATATTATATTAGACGTTATAAAGAAAATGAATCCGTTATTACAGATCATGATGATTCTGTTGATCTGGTTGGCGGTTCTCGTCACCGCGATTCTGCTGTACTTCCGTAAGCTGTACTCTACATTCAGTCGCCACGGCATCAAGCACATAAAGCCAGTCCCTATCTTTGGTAATATGGCCAAGATAATCTTACGCACCGAACATTTAAATGACGAGCTTTTAAAACTCTACAACGAATTCCCAGACGAAAGGTAAGAAATTTAGGCAATTAAGAAGTGTTAACGAATAGATTACATAAACGAACAAGAGTTTGTATAGAAGAACAATATAAACAAAATAAAACAATTAATTATGTTGGTTATGATTTCCGTGTTAAAGAATGAATTTTTGTTTTATTCATCAGGTTTGTTGGCAGATACGATTTTAATAAGGAGGTAATTTTAGCTCGTGACCTTGAGCTTATAAAGAATATAACAGTGAAAGATTTCGAACACTTCATCGACCATCGCTTCGTTTTTGGCAGCAGCGAGTCCTTTTTCTCCAGGAACTTGTTATCTTTAAGAGGTACTTATGCAAAACAATCAACCCGTCTAAGAACTAGTGTCTCAAACCGAATTCATTTAAGCAAAAAGAAGATCGATAGTTGGATAACGATATAACCACCCTCTATGATTCAGGTATAATCATGTATCATATTCTTAACTGTTTGAACCCGATACGATAAATAGGAGCTAGTCATATACTTTTTCTTTTTCCTACTAAAATATGAAGTTAAATTAAAAATTATCTTATCAAGGACAAGAATGGAAGGATATGCGTTCTACTTTGAGTCCAGCGTTCACGAGCTCCAAGATACGTCTGATGGTGCCTTTCATGGTGGAAGTCGGAGATCAGATGATGCGGTCGCTGCATAAATTAATAAGAGAATCTAAGAGTAAGTTAGCTTTCTATAAATGTTAAAATAATACTCCATACCCATATAAATATCCAGCAGTGAGAACAACTCGAGATAAAAATTAATGAATTAGATGAATTAAGTGACAAGAGTTTTCTGGTAGAGTGTTTCTTTTAAAACTTGGCTGATTTAAAAACGCACAGAGACCAGCTTGATTGTATAATATAACACATATTCATTAATTATGAAGAAAGTATACAAAATTACTACTACATAACAAATTTATTAGTTGTGGAACATTTGTTATTGAAATAGATTAGTAGTACCTACACCTTAGGGAAATTGTAATCCAGGATTGCGATCTTACACTAGCTATAGCTAGTGTAATAACCACCTATTTATATTATTGTGAGATTCTTTATAGGTGGCTCCGTAGACATTGAATGCAAAGATCTTACTACCCGCTACGCGAACGATGTGATTGCCTCATGTGCCTTCGGTCTGAAGATAGACTCTCACAATGACAAAAACAACAGCTTCTACGCTTTGGGGAAGGAGACTTCTACATTGACGTTCCACAAGGTCCTTAGCTCTTTCGTGCTTGTGGCTGCACCAGCAGTAGGTGAGGTAAATATTATATTTACTATTCATACATGTTCATTATAGTGAGAACGATTGGCAAGTGTATATTTTTGTTTACGTTATTATTATTTTGAATTAGTTTTTTTGAAAGTTTATTTGCTTCTTTTTTAATTTAAGATTCAGAGTGTTAATTACCATGCAGTGCCATCGTAATGGCATCATCATAAATACTTTTTTTAAATATTGCACATTGTTACAGTTATTCAAGTTGGATATCCTTTCGGAGTCATCGAAGAAGGCATTTAAATCTTTAGTTCTAGACACGATGGAAAACCGAGAGTTGAATAATATTGTCAGGCCCGACATGATTCATTTGTTAATGGAAGCCAAAAAAGGTACGTACATGAAAATTCAAAATATCCAGGAGAATTAATAGGATTGATATCAATAAAGCATTAATACCTACATATTAATTTTAGGCAAGTTGACTCATGAAGATATTAAATCCAATGATGTGGCTGCTGGATTTGCTACTGTCACGGAATCGTCTGTAGGAAAAAAAGCAGTTAATAGAGGTATGTGTGCCAATCTAGTGTCAGTTTATCCAATTTAAATGTTGGTGTCAAATTCATGTTACATTCACAATGGATCCTTGATATTAATTTACCACTGAAATTGTTTTTATTACTGAAATTGCATTATGGATGCCCCATTTTTTCCTATACTTCCAGATTGGAGTGACGGTGATCTCGTCGCTCAAGCAGTGCTATTCTTCATTGCTGGATTTGAAACTGTTTCGTCCGGAATGTCGTTTCTACTGCATGAGCTTGCCATGAATCCTGACGTTCAGGAGCGGTTGGCGCAGGAGATCAAAGAAAATGACGCCAAGAACGGCGGCAAGTTCGACTTCAACTCCATACAGAACATGACCTACATGGATATGGTGGTGTCAGGTGACACGTATGCTATGAATTGTGACTTATTTGAAATCAGTTAAAACCGTATTTTTGCATTACTGGTGATTTCAGAATTATAATCACGGTTCTGCACATTTATTATTACTATTTATTGAGACATGTATTTTCTTTTGTAGAACTCCTTCGATTTTGGCCTCCTGCTCTTGCTCTTGACAGGATTTGCACCAAAGATTACAATTTGGGTAAACCAAATTCAAAAGCGGAGAAAGATTATATTGTGAGTTAAATTCTTCTCCAATCAGTTTTATATATATACTTTTATATTACTAATTTTACCCTCTCTGAAATATTTTACCAGATTCGCAAAGGTACTGGCGTCTGGATACCAGTCTATTCTATTCATCATGACCCTAAGTACTATCCTAACCCCGACAAGTTCGACCCTGAGCGGTTCTCAGAAGAAAATAGGCACACCATTAACCCACTCGCGTACATGCCCTTCGGTGTTGGGCCTAGGAATTGCATTGGTAAGTACAGACTATTTTTCGAGAACCAATTTGACTTCTAAACTTAAGTCAGACTGGTCGAAACGGACAATATCATAAGCCATGAGTACTTACATATCGTAATGCCTGTCTATTTGTTATTAATAAATTATTAAATTTAATTAAATCTTCTGTAAAATTATCATGCAAAAGGCAAATGTGGTTCAAATAATTCCAATATCATACAATCAATAATAATATTATCGTCTAAAACATGCCTAATGGTATTACAACCCATTTCTTTATCCTCAGGTTCAAGATTTGCACTTTGTGAGATCAAGGTCATGACATACCAAATTCTGCGAGAAATGGAACTCTCTCCCTGTGAGAAGACTTGCATACCGGCGAGGTTATCTAAGGAAACTTTCAACCCGAAACTGCATGGAGGACATTGGCTTAAGTTCAGACTGAGGAAATAGAAAACAAGGTTACCAAAAGATGACTATGAGAAAACTGTGGAGATCCAGTGTAGGCTTTTAAATTATAGGTAGCAGTTAAATGTGTCTGGCATTAGTCACGTTTAATTTTAAAAGCAATGTGTATCTTATACTGATGTGTATTTATACCAAAGGTAAATAAAATAAATTAATATACTTTTTACACCGGGGTGTTATTTTTTACAGCGAGCTTTTATGTAGCTTACAATTTATATACCTATGTTTTTGTAGCGGAGAGGGTGTCAGACTTTTAATGACCAAAACCTACCTGGACTGTCCTACCAGCATTTCCAGAAGATTGGTATTAAAATTGATTTTTAATTAAAATTACATTACATCCTAGCTTAGCCTTGTCTTGTACATTACTTCGCTTGCAGCCGCAACACCGGATCCCTGTTCGGCTTGATCATAGATTTTACTATAAAACTTGTTTCCGTAAATTTTTTTTGTATTGCCGTGATCATAGTTAACGTTAGAGCGGTTAAATATGTGAAAATCACTTCTCCGATAAATGTCGCTGCGATTCACTTAGAGCGGGCAACTTCTACGGGCAGTCCACAAATGAGGTAGTATCTGAACTATATACTCTTTTCTTTATGCATTTATTATGTCTCTATTTTAACCCAGGACAGTAATAAGCCTAGCCAGCCCTGACTACTAAGAAGAGTCTTCTTCTTTGATAGAGGAGAAGTGAGCATTAACTAACATTCTTGCTTCAAGCGGATTGGTAATTTGGTGTGGGAGTCATGCTTTATTACGAATGGGTCGGCTCGACCGGAGTTATAATACAGCCTCAAAGAAAACCGGCGTGACATAACCACAGCGGTGTGGTTTGCCGTGTGAGTAAGTTTATCGAATCATATTTTTAATCCTATCTCCGCCATCAATTATTAGATTACAGAGATTTAGGGATTGGGCAGGCCAATCCCTAAATCTCCGTAACTCTAATCCCCAAACGGCAGGCAACGCTCTTCTGGTGTTACAGGTGTCCATGAGCGGCGCCGATTACCTCATTATCAGCCTATAAGTGCCCACTGCTGAGCAAAGGCCTCTTCTCACAAGGAGAAGGTTTGAGCATTAATCACCACGCTTGCTCAATGCGGGTTGGCGATTTCAAACTTATAATTAGAAATTATAAGTCCAGGTTTCCTCACGATGTTTACCTTCACCGTATGTCAGTGGTGTCTAAATAATCATAGAAAGTACGTATAACTCGGAAAAAGTCACATTGGTACTTGCCAGTTGCCAGGTTTCTAACCCACACCCTCATGCTTGGGCACGCTACTATAGCAGCGGTAAGACCCCTCTTTGAGGAGTGGCTTGAGAGACGCCACGGCGTCCTCACCTTCCGTCTGACGCAGGTGCTTACCGGGCACGGCAGCTTCGGTAGGTTCCTGTTTCGGATCCAGCGGGAGGAAACGCCCGAGTGTCGTCATTGTGAGGACCACCTAGAGGATACGGTGGAGCATACCGTAGCGGTATGCCCTGCCTGGGCTGAGCACCGCCGTATCCTCAGGGAAGTGATCGGCGGCGGCGACCTCTCGCGCCCGGCCTTAGTCGAGGCCATGGTGCGGAGTAAGAGGAACTGGGACGCCGTCTCCTCCTTTTGTGAAGCAATCATGCTCGCGAAGAGAGAGGCGGCCCGCGTGAGGGAGCAATCCTCCTCCTCACGCCCCAGCAGCCGCAACTGGCGACACTACGGGCGTCGGGGATCAAGGGACGATCTCTGGCCACCGTAAGCACGGGCCTGCGGTCGGCGAGTAAGGGCAGCTCGCCGCCCGACCAGAACCAGGCCCGAGCGTACGACGCGTAGCGTTCCGCGCGCGCCTCAAAGAGCCAATAGACCACCACAGACGGGGCCCTAAAGGGCTGATGTTCATCCAGGGTTGCGGGGTAAGCGCAATGAGGCACCGCGACCTCGGTACAGAGCAGGAGAAGGAACAGGGGGGTTTTTAGTCAGTAAGAGTCTGACACTCCCTCCTGCCCGGCCTTGGGCGGGAGAAGTCATTTGATGATTTTCCCCTCACAAAAAAATAAATAAAAACACCCTTATGCTTGAGAAGCGGGCGCCGTAACCTCGGGGCCACCACGACGATCCGATTACCTGTCACAAATGTAATCCAAGGTCTTGTATTCCGTCCAATCAATGAAACAAAACTGTTTAAAATAAGGAATGTCCCATGTTCTATGTGAGGTCTCAAACAATAATTATCGTTGAACAAAATTTTATCCTAATCAGTTTAGTGTTTTAGGGGTGAAGTAGAGACACAGACAAACATAGTTATGTTCGCATTTATTTATTGTATGGACGGATATGAAGATATACTATTGTTACGTGCCTGACGTCACGTTCCTAACTATGCGGGCTTGGGTTACGGGATTGGATGAAATTAAACACTAATACCGGTTTTCAGACTTTCTATTGCACTTAAGTGACAGCGTCCACGGATACGGATAAGTTATCGGCGTTCCTCTCCAGCAGAGTCCGGCCGACTGACACAACTTTGCCGTTCACTGTTCACGCTGACTTAACTCACTTAACTGACTGCACTTCACTATTTCACTGCACTTCACTATTTCACTCACTTTTCTTCTTTTCACTTCTTCCTTTTCTTCCGAATCGCTTTGGACTTAGAACTCAACTGCCAGCGGTGAGCCGCAGTTCCGCTTATATACCCCTGGTCAGGTTCTAGAACATTCAATTTCGTTATTCTTTTTGATCGTCATGCCTCCAGAACCTTCGAATAATTTCGTTATTCATTTTTATTTATTCTCCTTCTCGCTCCTTAATTTTTCATTACTTTCACTCAAATATTCCAGAAAGTTCGACAAAACTTCCATCAACTAAAAAACTTCATGTTTACGGCGGGACTCGAACTCGGGGTCTCTGTGGTGTAATCCACACGCCTTACCGATTACACCAACTCGTGTTGACAATTCACGACGAAATTTACAATCTCTAGGCAACGTTTGACAACCATCCATTGACGTCATGATGTCAAAGAGTTTTCTGTCACACTGCCCCCCTCTTAGATTCGCTCGTCCCGAGCATCGTTGCTGCCGTAATACCTCGCCAACCTGTCTATATGGACAACTTTCAAAGGGCTCCTTGAAGACTTCCGAATTCTGTAAGTAATGTCATTGATCTTCGTGACTATCTCGTAAGGACCTTCCCAACTCGGTTGCAGCTTTGAAGATTTTCCCTTCCTTCTGACTGGATTATGAAGCCAGACCAATGACCCCTCTTCAAACCCAACAGAATTGGCTCGTCGATCATAGCGCGTCTTTGCGCGATCACTAGCTTGAAGACCGGCCTCCCTGATCTGCTCATAAATGTCCAACATTTTTGCCCTTAACTCGCTTATGTAATCGCTAAACTCGGTGCGAGAGTCACCAGGTGGACAGCCCGATACAAGATCTGCCGGTAATCTCAATTCCCTTCCAAAATTTGCAAATGCAGGCGTCTTTGCGGTACTTTCATGTACAGCAGTCCGATAGGCAAGCAAGAAGAGAGGTATGTAAGTGTCCCAATCTCTCTGATGGCTGTCAACCACCTTTGCTAAGTGTCGCTCCAATGTTTGGTTGAAGCGTTCGACCATTCCATCTGACTGTGGATGATAAGGGGTCGTTCGAGTCTTATGGATTCCCAAAAGTTTACAAGTTTCCTGGAAAACTTGGGATTCAAAGTTCCGTCCTTGATCACTGTGCATCTCCAAGGGCACTCCGAATCGGGTGAATACCTCGTTTACCAACTTCGTGGCTACAGTTACTGCCTCTTGATTCGGTATGGCAAAGACCTCCGGCCATTTTGTAAAATAATCCATAACCACTAAAACGTAGCGATTGCCCGAATCAGTGATTGGAAATGGTCCAGCGATATCTAAGGCTATTCTCTCCCAAGGCATACCAACATTGTAGATTTTCATCGCCCCTCTGCTTCTTGTTTGTGGACCCTTGACAGCTGCACAACTAGTGCATTTCCGGCACCAATCTTCGACGTCATATTTGCAATGCAACCAATAAAACCTCTCCTTGATCTTCACCAAAGTCCTCCTAATTCCCAAATGTCCTCCAGAAGATCCATCATGGAACGCTTTTAATACATCCCTTATTTTTGAACGAGGCACCACCAATTGCAAATGCTCGTCCTTGCCGTTTGTTGATTCCCATTTCCTGCACAGAAGTCCGTTATGCAGCGTAAGGCTTTTCCACTGTGCCCATAAACCTTTCGTTACCTCGCTATATTGGGCGACGTCACTCCAACTTGGCTTGTTACCACTTCGTAGCCACTCCAGTATTGGTTTGATATCTGCATCTCTTTCCTGTTCTAATTTCATCGCATCGTCTCCCCATGCCTCGTCAGTAGTATACATACAGTATCAGTCCTTATCACCTTAAGAAAAGCAGTTTCCTTCTTGGCACAATGCTTGCAATCTTCCACGCATGGGCGTCTCGATAATGCATCTGCGTTGCCATGAATTCTTCCGCCGCGATGTTCGATTTCAAAGTCAAATTCCTGAAGTTGTTCCAACCATCTGGCTACTTGGCCTTCGGGATCCTTAAACTGAAGCAGCCATTTCAAAGCAGCGTGATCAGTTCTGATCAAAAATTTCCGTCCCAGTAAATACTTCTTGAAATGGTGCAGAGTTTTGACTACGGCCAGCAATTCCCTCCTGGTCACGCAATAATTCTTCTCCGGCTTGGATAGTGACTTGCTGAAGTAAGCAATAACCTTCTCCTGCTCACCATCGCGTTGTGAAAGGACACCTCCTATTCCAATATTGCTGGCATCCGTATCAACTACGAATATTCCTTTCGCGCTGGGGTATCCGAGAATTGGTGTGTTACAAAGCCGTTCTTTTAGTTCTCGAAAGGCTTGCTCACAATCCTCGTCCCAGATAAAGGCACGTTTCTCCTCTGTCAATCGATGCAAAGGCTTGGCAATGTCCGAGAATCCTTTCACAAACCGCCGATAATACGAGCACAATCCAAGAAATGCCCGAACTTGCGTTTTGTCTTTAGGTGTCGGCCATTCCTTTACAGCGGCAGTCTTGGCTGGATCAGTCTCAATTCCTCTCTCAGAAATAACATGTCCTAGATAATTCACTTCGCGCTTGAAGAAAGAGCATTTCTTTGGACTCAACTTTAAATTTGCTCCACGCAGCTTATCGAGTACCTTTTCCAATTTCCTTAGATGATCGTCAAAATCCCGTCCAACAATGATGATGTCATCGAGGTAAACTAGGCAGGTTTCGCCCAGCAGTCCCGCCAGCACCTGTTCCATCAAACG